TACAATATGGTTAAAAATATATATAAATAATTATATATTTTAATAAAATGTAGCGATAAATCAGTTTGAATAAATTGAAAATGGTTTTGAATTCGTTTGAATATTAGCACAAGAGTCCTTGTGTTTTACTATTGTATTTCCCCCCCCCCCCCTCTCCTAATAACATTGAAAACGGTGAAATTATAGGGGTCTGAACTCACCTCTAGTGTGTGCTCGAGTCTGGATTTCGGAACTGTAGAGATGACCATCGGGCTAGCGTACATGGGAAGAACGGTATCCTAAAATTATTTAAACACGTAATCATATTTAAATTAGCAAGAAAATTAATTAAAGTGTTAGACAACACATAATTTATATAAGGAATTTCTTACAAAAATTACCAAGAATTGTATGAAGTGTTGAGGAGGGTTTTCGGTCTAGCCTTCACCGAAATCCTTGATTTCGGTCCTAAATCATCAACCGAGAACCAAGTTCTCAATCTTAGGGTGTTCTCGGTTGGAAACGAGTTCTCTGTCCAAGGTGCTTTGGGTCAGCTTGAAGATTTGAAGATTCTTCTTGGTGTTCTTGGTGAAATTATGAAGATTTGAATGATGTTTCTTGAAGATATGAAGATCCGTGTATGATACTTGAGAAAAAAATGGGAGTGTTTTCAAGTAAAGAGGTAAGAAAATGGCTTATTTTTTCGGGGAAAAATATATATAACGGTTGGGTTTTCGGCCGGACAGACATTTTCGGTCTGAAGGGTTTGCGGTCCGAGGGTTCTCAGCCGAAAAGGAGTTTTCAGTGCGAGGGTTCTTGGTTCCAAAGGGAAAAACGTTGATTTTTAAGTGTATTTTATTCCAAATACTTATATAAAACATTATTTATATAATTTAAGTCACATTTGACCCTTATGTTCTAACAAAATAAATAAAATTCAAACTTTTATTTAAAAATGGTTTGACTTCTATTGACCGGAAAACAACGGGTTGTTACAAGACCCAACATCCAGGATACGCATACATCATATATATATATATATATTACCCAAGAGTGGCTAATTATTCCATATGGTACCTTCTATAAATTGCACTCTCTCATGGGACTTCCACTAACTCTGCAGTTACTCGTTCATGCTAATCATACATAACGTTGGATTCCACATATAGTTTAATACTTGATTCTACCCTATGCTCAGAACCAAAATAGGAACATGAAATAAGGCTAAACCAAACTTTCTTAAGTTATAAAATCTTAGTTATGTATCATTATGGTGCATACACTAAGAAACTACAGTAATGATGCCAATTCCATATAGGATACAATAAAATCTCCTAGCCTATTAGGCATCATAACTCAGACAATTCTATCATGCAATTCCTGAAGTCCCTTAGCCTACAACTAGCATACAGTTCTATCATAATCATAATAATCAAATAACAATGTGGGTATCTTGGGGAATACTTTCGTACTTTGGGTGATCATACACATCTCGTCCCTCCTGGGTTATTTTTAGAAAATAATTTGGAAACTTTTGCAGACCCTTAGTTTGAGTTTGGATTTACATGAATCTTTGTCCAGTTCTCTCCAACCAAGGCTCTGATACAAACTTGTAACATCCCAAAAATCAAGGCAAAATTTTTATTTTTAAAGAACATCCAAAAACCCATAAGTTTTATAAAACAAGTTCTCAAAGTCACTATCATGATTCAGAGTATCCCAAAATCATAAAACACATAAAATCTAGGATGATGTGCACGATTAATCCTTCGCCTTTCCCTGCCCTCTGAAGTACATGCAACCATAAAATCAAAGTCTAAGCCAAAGCTTAGTGAGTTCCCCCAAAATACCACACACAACCAAACATATAACAAAATTCAAATATGAGCCTTCAGCTTGACTTGACCGCCTTGTAGGGCCTACAACCTATCCAGACAGCTCTCCGGGCCTGCGGCCTGACAGGACTGCCTCGGAGGGCCTACAACCTATGCAGACCGCCCCGAGTATCTTGGCCTTCAACACAAAGTAGGACCACCTCAACCCCACCACAGTATGTCGATATATACAATAAATAAACATAACATATATCCAACAAATACAGGTAACCATTCAAGTTTACAAATCTATTATATAACCAACATAACATCACCCTATATACCATGGTACATAAACTAGTGGCCCGACATTGGTGCCTTCGACCAACAAGTATAGTGAGAAAGACTCACCTTACAGACTGAAAAATAGTTGAACAGATAACTGCTCTAAGTGTTGCCTTTACAGATTACCTATACGATTAACAGGGATCCAAACTCAAACTACCATACAAATTACCCAAAATGTACTTAAGTCAAATTTGGTCAAAGTCAATGGTTAAAAGCCTTAACCTCCAACTGGTTGGAACATCTTAGCCATCCTTGGCCACACCGCTAATCGAAAAAACAGACGAGCCTTAGCCCACTCGTCACACCGTGACAACCTAAGGCCACGTTGTGGGCACTAGGATCCTAACAACTTAATGGGTTAAGCCATTTTCTTTGATTCTCAAGGTTCTAAAGCTCAGATCTGGTCCATTCTATGGTCTAGGTGGATAAAGTTTCCAACTTTACCCCTTTATACTCTCCAAGAGATAGATATCTCACTCCTAGGTCTAAAAGGACAAAACATGACTTGGCTTAAACCAATAAGCACTTAATCTTGAAGACCTCTAGTCCAACACTTCCAAAATTGTTTCTAGAATCATAAATAAGATAAAAAAAACCATGCGTTCCATAGATGCATGTATTGAACTCCCATTAGATCAAAGAGAGGGTTTATGGTAAAAAATCCATGCATGACACCAAAACTCATCACTAATCCAGATCCAAAGCACCAAATACCCTTAATGGCCTGGAGATTCATAAAATTGCAAACTTTATGGGATCTCACCACTCCAAACAACAAGAACATGAAGATTTATGGACAAAACTCAAGATATAGGAACGTATCATGATAAAAATCGAGTCTTGGACACTTACAAAGGTCTAGAAGAGTGCTACAACAAAGGATGAGGACTTCCTTGTTGAATCTTAGCTCATTTATTCTTCTTTCTTCCTTCAAAGGCTTCGAAGGACACCAAAAAGGGATTAAATAAAGGAGGAAGGGGATTAGGATTTCTCAGGTCTCAAGGAGAATGATGGAGGTTGAGGGTGAGCAAACCCTAGCCTCCTCATTGCTTTAAATAGGAAGCAAAACTCGGAATATAGGGTTTGTCAATTGCCAGTTATCACATCATGGCCATATACTGCCACGTCGTGGCCATATACTGCCACGCCGTGACGACTTACATGATTTAGTGATCTTATCTTGATTTGTCACGTCGTGGTGCCTCCACCATGCCGTGGCAAACCCTAAAATGCCAAAAATTGAAAATGTGAAGTACCTCGGGATTTGGGTGTTACAACTCTCCCCTAATTGGTGTAGTTTGCTATCTTTTGGGGCCAATGTAATTACTCAGTAGCAGTGTACTTTCATTTATTTGTTTATTATAACATCCTACTTTCGTTTCTTTTTCTATTACAACATTGTACTTTCACTATTCTTATTAAAGCATTATACTTTGAAAAATATAGAGAAGTAATTTGCTATAACCAACAACTCAATGAAAGTACATTGTTGTTTCTTAATTTCTAATCTTCCTGATTATATGTTTTCTCATGTGATTTTTTCTAGATTGTTTGTGGTCGTGGACAACATATTCTGTTTATTTCAAGGTCATGTAGAGAATGTTGTCCCGCTAAAGAAACAATGGGAATTAAACAAGACAACAAATAAAGTTATTATTGTTATCGAGGCATACAAAGAACATTAAGGGGCAGGGATCCTTATCCTGCGAAACAGGTTGTAAGAGACCTTCAAGGAAAATAAGTCATGAGGTGGAGGTGGCAGCAAAGCCTGTTAAAAAGAGGAATAGGAAGGCATTTGTTTCAAGTAATTTCACCTCAATTCATATAAAGATTTTCCAATCTTCTTTATGTTCTTACTATGATTTCTTCAATTTATTTTAGACCTTGTAGAAGGATTTAGTGTCTTCAACATGTAAAAAACAGAGCCAATACTTGAAGAGAATGAAGAATTTGAAAAACCATCTCAAGAGAAGAAGGAACAAGTCTATTTTCATTGTTGTTGTAAGTAATATCACTGCACTTTCATTTATTTGTTTATTATAATATCTTACTTTTAGTTGTTGTTAGTATTTTATTGGCTTACAATTACCATATTTCCATTCACGATGCTGATGGCAATATGCCATTTTTTAGGGGACCAATTTAGAATGAAATGTTGTGCTCTCTCATAATGTTGAAACTGTAAAGAAAAGTTGTGGCAAATCCTTTGTACCATCCCCTAAAGGTTCGTATTTTGTGTTGCTAACATTTGATTTGGTGTGATAGGTCTCCTTTAAAACTTAATGTTTAATTGATGATTATCAACCGCTATCAAAATCCAGAAATACAGGCTTCGCCATTCTCAAATACATGCGTCTCTCCATACTACTCGCTCAAAAACTAATCAAAACATATCAAGAGATGCCCCAAGTCATTGAAGACAACGGATAAACAAATAAACTCAGTTTCGATTTTTTTTTGAATGATATCTATATTATTGATGTGTTTTGTCTATGTAGTATGTACTGATGTGATTAATGTCTATTCTTAAATGTTATCCATGTCATCATATAACCACACTTTGTTGTAAAGTTTGAGTTTAATCTTTATTACTTTGAACACCTAAAATTTGAACTTTATAAAACATCATTAATTTAACACACGTTACAAACTCGTGGTAAAATGCAAACTTTTTTACTAGATTCTAAAAATTCTATATCAATTTTTGTTATGTTCTTGCTAGATTTGTTCCATTTTAATATATCTGTCGTTGTATATTTTTTATTAAAATTTGTAAAAGAAATATATTATTTTATATCTAATTAAACGATTATTTTGATCTAATAAAAAAAAAATGTGTCCTATTCACCGACTTTGCAAACCTTCCCATCCAATCCCTCCCAAAGAAAGTGAAATACGATGCCTCTTCGATCTTCACAAATACTCATAAATTAATGATCCAAAGGCTGTTTATTTATCGCAGCTTCTATGAATGCTACCTCACGTGATTGTGCATCATCGTAAGCAAAGAGCAAGAAATGTTTTTTGGTCTTATCATCCGCTTACACATATTGTCATCATCATGATGAGTACGCAATTCGCAATTTATTAATCACATTTTTCTTGGTTTCAGTATGCGACCCTTCTTCCTTCTCTCTCTCTCTACGTAACTTCGACGACCCACTTTCTCTCTCTAAACCCAAACTTATAGAACAAGGAAAAAACGCAGTGGTTGGGCGCTAATATATTGTGAAAAAGAATGGAATATGCCATTGTATCGAAATTTGTTCGCCGCCAGACAATCTTAGATACTCGTCAATAAATCCTCCCAAATTTCTATACTATATAACAAAGGGACAGATACCACTTTCCTCTTTTGTTATTGACTCATCATTATTCATTAAGGTACTGTATCTCTGTTCCTTTTGTTCCTAATATGTCTTTATTGTGTCCAATTGCGTCATTGAATTTGATATCTAGTGTCTAAACATGTTATGCTAGCTTTCGATTCTGTTAATTGTCGTCCTGTTCGCTCGAAATTCGTAATTTTGGAAACTTGGATTTGCTTATTCGTTCAGGAAACCCTAATTTTGTACTTTCTAGTGTCATCATACTCATCTTGATGGTGAAATGCATGATTTTGATACTCCGATCAGCAGTTTTGAACTGTTTTAGGTTTCTGGTTTCGATTTCTAATTCAATTATACATGACGTTGATGTGGATTCTCTATGTCGTCTCTCTGTTTATGGGTTTTATCTGTTTCGAGATACTGTTCCTTTGGATTCTTGTTAGGACAATCGAGTTATGTCCATAAGTTACTATTTCGAACTTCAAGAATCAAAAATAAATAATCAGATTATCAAGTGCTTAATACTTGGCTTAGCTAAGTAAATTTACATATGTAACTTGCTATTTAGATTCTTCACATCTGTTCATTTTGATCCTAATTAACAAGACTTAATCTGGTAAGCTATATATGAGTGTTTCTTTATCAGAGTCTAATAATTTTTGATATGGCAGATTAGCCTCTCATCAAGTATATGAAAGTATTGTGAATCAAAAGCCTCCATTTGAAGATTAAAAATCAAATATGGGGTTAGAAAAAGAGCACAGTGGTATACTGGATATTAACATGGAGAAAGTGCGGACGATTCTAACCCATACATACCCTTACCCTCATGAACATTCACGCCATGCCATCATTGCAGTTGTTATTGGTTGTCTGTTTTTTATATCATCAGACAACATGCATACACTCATTCAAAAGCTAGACAACAACATCAAATGGTGGTCAATGTACGCGTGTTTACTCGGGTTTTTCTATTTCTTTTCATCTCCATTTGTAGGGAAAACAATTAAACCAAGCTACTCGAATTTCAGTCGATGGTAAGTTACCTTTTTACCCTTCTTTTTTGAATGATTTGTTTGTGTTGTTCATATATATATATATATATATATATATATATATATATATATATATATATATATATATATATATTTTTGTGTTTTTGTAGGTATATAGGATGGATATTAGTGGCAGCTGTATACCATCTTCCAAGTTTTCAGTCAATGGGAGTGGATATGAGGATGAATCTTTCCTTGTTTTTGACTATATACATTTCATCTATTTTTGTACTCCTTGTTTTTCATTTAGTTTTCTTGGGCCTTTGGTATCTTGGTCTTGTTTCTCGTCTGGCTGGGAGGAGACCCGAGATCTTAACCATTGTTCAAAATTGTGCGGTAAGTTCAATATCGGAATTGGAATTGGAAATTCCATTCCTGTGTTTATGGAATTGGTTAATAACATGATGACTTTATGTGTAGGTGTTAAGTGTAGCATGTTGTGTGTTTTATAGCCACTGTGGCAATCACGCATTGAATGAAAAACGATTGGGAAGAAGAGATTCCGGACTTTTTTCACTTTGGAAGAAAGGAGAAACGAGCATATGGCTCTCAAAATTCCTTAAAATTTACGAATTCAAAGATGAAATATGCAAATCGTGGTTTGCTCCTGTGGGGTCCGCACGTGATTATCCACTTCTCTCTAAGTGGGTTATATATGGAGAAGTACGACACTTATATAGTTATATTTATCATTTTCTTCACCATATCATAATTATTATTATCTTTTTTACAGTTTTCTTGTAGTGGCCCATGTGAGTCATCCGATGAAATTTCCCCAATTTATTCATTATGGGCAACGTTTATTGGACTTTATATGGCTAATTATGTGGTGGAAAGATCAACTGGGTAACTTTATTTTACACCAAAAACCAATTACATATATATATTTTTTGAAAATTACTAATTAAATGATTTTGATTGGCAGATGGGCTCTTACTCATCCATTGTCTGTAGAACAAACCGAGAAGCTGAAAGATGAGCAGATGAAGCCTAATTTTTTGGATATGGTTCCTTGGTATTCAGGGTACATAAATTATATAATTGTGTATTTAAAATTTAAATGACATGTATGTATATATATATATATATATATATATATATATATATATATATATATATATATATATATATATATTGTATAATTTATATGTATATCTATGTATGTTGCAGAACATCAGCTGATTTGTTCAAGACTGTGTTTGACCTTCTTGTATCTGTGACTGTATTTGTTGGAAGATTTGATATGAGAATGATGCAAGCAGCTATGAGTAGGGTCCACGAAGGGGCAAAAGAGGATTTTCTATATGATCATCTTAGTGTAAAAGATCATTTATGGTTTGATTTCATGGCTGATACTGGTGATGGTGGAAACTCATCTTATTCTGTTGCTAGACTCCTTGCTCAACCTTCACTTTATGCCTTCAATGATGAATCTTTACTATCATTGCCTCGTGGGGACCTCCTCCTTATTGGAGGCGATCTCGCGTAAGTCTCACTCTCATCATTTTTTTCTTTTTTGAAATCTATGTTAAAATTTACGATTCTACCCTTGTTCAGGTATCCTAATCCCTCGGCGTTCACTTACGAAAAACGGTTTTTTCGTCCTTTTGAGTATGCGCTTCAACCACCTTCGTGGTATAAAGATGAGCATATAGCGGTTGATAAGCCGGAATTACCGTTTGGTGTGTCTGAACTCAAACGTTATGATGGGCCCCAATGCTTTGTTATCCCTGGGAACCATGGTAAATGACCATTTTACCCTTACATTCCAACAAATAGTATATAATAATCGGTTTTTGTGGTTTTTTACAGATTGGTTTGACGGGCTTCAAACTTTCATGAGGTACATTTGTCACAAAAGCTGGTTAGGTGGATGGTTAATGCCACAAAAGAAAAGTTACTTTGCATTACAATTACCAAAAGGGTGGTGGGTTTTTGGTCTTGATTTAGCTCTTCATTGTGATGTCGATGTTTATCAATTCAAATTCTTCGCCGAGTTAATAAAAGAAAAGGTGAATTACTTTTTTACTTTTTAGTTTGTTATTTTGTTACATGATTTTTAGCAAGCTTCTAAATTTTTTTATTTTTTGTAGGTTAGAGAAACGGATTCGGTGATTATTATGACACACGAACCGAATTGGATATTGGATTGGTATTGGGATGATGTGACTGGAAAAAACGTGTCACATCTTGTGAAAGATCATTTAAAAGGAAGGTGTAGACTTAGAATGGCGGGTGATTTACATCATTACATGCGTCATTCGCGGGTCCCATCTGAAACACATGACTCTGTGCAACATCTACTTGTTAATGGTTGTGGTGGGGCCTTTTTGCATCCCACGCATGTTTTTAGTAATTTTGATAAAGCTTATGGAGCAACTTATGAAATGAAAGCCGCATATCCATCTGTTGAAGATTCAAGTAGGGTAAGTAAGCAACCCCTTGTAAAAAGTAGAAAAAAAAAAAACAAATGGAGCTTACAAGATTAAGTCTTTAAATATGCAGATTGCTCTTGGTAATATCTTGAAGTTTCGCAAGAAGAATTGGCAGTTTGATTTCATTGGTGGATTTATTTATTTCATATTGACATTTTCCATGTTCCCACAAGTACGTATTTATATTTATATTTATATTATATTATGTTAACATTTCTAGTAAATCCAAAACGCATGATATTATCACTTTTTTCTTTTCAGTGTAATCTTGGCCATATTTTACATAAAGATGATACGTTTTCGGGGCATGTGAAGAACTTTTTTAGCACAGTGTGGGATGCTTTTATGTACATGCTTGGGCAATCGTATGTATCTTCTACGGGTGCTTTGTTGCTATTAGTGGCTGCAATATCATTTGTTCCTTCAAAAGTGTCGCGAAAAAGAAGAGTAGCAATTGGAGTTCTTCACGTTTCTGCTCATCTTTCAGCTGCTTTGATTCTTATGTTACTAATGGAATTAGGCGTTGAAATATGCGTACAACACAAACTTTTGGCAACTTCAGGCAAGATCTACGCTCATAACATATAGTTATTAGAGTAAATTACATCTTTGGTCCCTGAGTAAAGCTGATTTTTGCAATTTTGGTCTTTATTTGATTTCAGGGTATCATACGTTATACGAGTGGTACAAATCGGTGGAAAGCGAGCATTTTCCGGACCCCACAGGGCTTCGGACACGTATCGAGCAATGGACTTTCGGGCTTTATCCGGCTTGCATAAAGTATCTCATGTCAGCTTTTGATGTTCCCGAGGTTATTTTTTATACATTTTTGTTTAAAAAAAATTAATTGAAAATTGCGTTTGATTGGATTTTTTTTTTAAATGATTAGGTGATGGCGGTGACACGGACAAATATATGCAAGAACGGGTTAAATTCACTCTCGCGAGGTGGTGCAACCATATACTATGCGTCTGTGTTTCTTTATTTTTGGGTTTTCTCGACACCTGTGGTTTCTCTAGTATTTGGAAGCTATTTGTATATTTGTATCAATTGGCTCCAATTACACTTTGATGAAGCTTTTTCTTCCTTGCGGATTGCTAATTACAAATCCTTCACACGCTTCCATATCAAGGAGGATGGCGATCTTGAAGTCTTCACTCTTGCAGTTGACAAGGTATGAATTTTGTTTCACCTGACAAAACAAGTTGTACGGTGTTTATACTGGAACTGATACTGATGTCAATGGGATATGCAGGTTCCCAAGGAATGGAAGCTAGATCCTGAGTGGGATAATGAGGTGAGACAACCGCAAATGGCTAGTCACAATCGGAAGTATCCGAGCAAATGGAGGGCGAATGCTTTTCATCAAGACCCTATAAATACTGTTAGAATCGTAGATCAATTTGAAATTCAACCAACATATAAATTGCAAGTGGCAGCAGTAAATGGGTCCATGTCTCATTGAATGTAGCTTTAAATTCAATGGATTTGTTTAAGAAATTGTGTTTCATTTAGATATGGAATACAGTTATTAGTTGTAGAACTTTAAATGAATGGTGCAATGTTGCCTCTATGTTTAGTGTAGTGTAGATATTTTGTATGCAAATTCCAGTTGACTTAGCATAATCTAGTGTGGAATTCAAGATTCCATTCCGTAGTATCTTTGGAATTCAAAATCCTCATACAAAACATCATTCTTAAAAGACATCAACTAATTAGGGTTTTGCTTTTGGAGAGATCATAAGCCGAACTATCGCCCCCATATGCATGAATGACTTGCTTGCTTCTTTTAAGCATTTAGCTTTCACGTCTCGTGACCAATGCTGCAATCAAAGATTTTTTGTTCCATTAACATCAGTATTATGTCAAACATAGTAGTAACAGTTGTTAAATAAAGTTAGGTAGAGACCTGTCCTAGAGCATTCAGCTTCTCTCTCATATCCTTTAATAACTCTTCAGGGTCCCCTGGCCACTGGCAACTCTCCAGTTCTCTTCCTTCTAGTATCTTTTCAGATGTCTGCATAAAAGAATGGATTTTTTACCCACTTAATAAACTACCACATGAACATATTCTTAGACATGAGTTGGATGCTAGAAGAAGTAAGGAACACACCTTTTTTAAAATCACTTGTCCACCTGCTATGTGGCTGAAGTAAATATTGTAGAGATGACAGAAAAAGAAAGGAGGATTCTTCACTGCAAGTTCTTCTAAATATTTTACATATTTTGCACTAGGGCTTTGAGGATCCGGGATTTGTATATTCTGCTGGCTAAGCCATTCTATATCCTTTGTAAAACTTTCACTTCTTTCCAATCCAGTCTTTCTGAAGTAGGCAACTGTAACAAGGGTGAAACAGAAAAGTTCTAAGCTGTACATGGAGCATCAATGGATTCTGAATTGGATGCAACGACAGGGAAAATTGGGGGTCATTTTGCCTTAACAAAAGCAAGAAATGTAGATGCATAATCTAATGTAATAAGCAGCAAAGAATGTATGACGTTTAATTTGTATGTGATGTAGTGAAGCAAAGAAACTCACAGGATACATCTTGCGACTCATCGACCAATCGCTCAATATTGCTAAAAACATGCCGATTTTCAACCAAAAAACTCATTAATCCACGCAGATCAGGTTCCCATGTCCCAGGATCCTCACTATCGGTTCCACCATCATCGTCATCAGATCCGTCAATTTCTCTATCACTGTTACCAGAGTCGTCATCTTCCGTCTCACTGTTGTCGTTGTCATCCAACTTGCGACGCTCATGATCAGGTTTCTTTTTACGGAGTTTCATAGCAACGAATCTCATTTCTTCGGTGATACCTCCCTCTTCACCGGGCTGCTTCCTCCTAAACATGCGCTGGTACTTTCTCACAGGCTTCCGCTCATTAAGCGGCGTTGACGCGTTATCCGGCGATGATAATGATGATGATACTGCCGAATCCTCGGTAGTTGAGTTGAAGCAACAAGAGATAGCTGGAAACCTAATTGATTTATTACTTCTGGGGTTTGAATTCGTTGTTGATATTTGTGTGATAGAGACAGCTGTGTGACGGAAATGGTAATGTATCGAGTAACAGGAAGGACGTGGCAGTGACGAGGGTCTGAATGTCGGTACGTTCACCATTGCTGCCGCCATGTTTGTTTTCATGGCAGTCTCTTACAAGCTTTCCTCCGGTTCAACGGAAATGAGTTGCGCCAATAGAGGAAGACATTCCCAAAGTCCCAAGTATTATCCCCAAGGCCCAAGTGACTTTGTTTTTAAATTTTAGTTTGCAAGTTTTTGGATTGGTTTTAGCCTGTTTAGATTTTTTTTTTTAATTATTATTATTATTTAAGATTGTTTTTAAATATTATCACCAAGTACAAGTGACTTTGCTTCTAAATTTTGGTTTGCAAGCTTTTGATTTGGTTTTAGCCTGTTTAGATTTATTTATTTACTTATTATTTTCTTAAGTTTGTTTTTCCCCATGGGCCAAGTGAGTTTGTTTTTAAATTTTGGTTTCTAAGATTGTTTTTAAATATTATCCCCATGGGCCAAAGTGACTTTGTTTTTAAATTTTGGTTTGCAAGCTTTTGGTTTTTGTTTTTATTTATTATTTTTTAAGATTGTTTTTACATATTAAACCGAGGCTCAAGTGACTTTGTTTTTAAATTTTGGTTTGTAAGTTTTGGTTTTAGCTGTTTAGATTTATTTATTTATTACCTTTTTTAGATTGTTTTTAAATATTATCTCTATCCCGTTCCTACGAGAGAAAAGAAAGAACATTAATGGAAGTGAGAAGAAAGTAAAAGAAATTAGTGTTTCCGAGTTTCATTACAGCAAAGAAGTGAAAGAAAATGGAATGAACACTTTCCCTCCTAACTTTCCTTCTAATTTGGACGGATTTTGAGAGAATGAACAAAATATCTAACTTTCTTTTCATTTCTCTCCAACTTGAGAATACGAAAAACAAATTTATTTTTCTTTACTTTCTCTTCTTTTCTCTCCTACTTTCTTTTGTACTCTTTGTTTCTAAATTTTGGTTTGCAAAGTTTTTGGTTTTAGTGTGTTTAGATTTATTTATTTACTTATTATCCTTAAAGTCTGATTCTGTTTGTTTACCTCTTAATTGAAAAATTAAAAGGTAACTTCTTAAAATTTCAGATATAGTTTGTTTGGCAGCTTCTTATTTTTTGCCTCTTAATTTTTTTTTAAAACCTCTTAATATTTCAGATATAGGATAGAGTATGAAAAGTAATAAGAGATGCATGTTCCTTTTTTACCCACCGCTTCTGCTATTCAAGTCTACACCTTCGCCTCGACCTTCTTCTCTCGACATGCACGTCTTTCACCTCCACCATCTGCCCTTTGGTCCGGTCACCGCCGCCATCCCCTTTACCTCCAGCTCCGTTAAAACTCGAAGACAACAGCACCAGGTAAGGTTTTTCCTTAAATCGATTTTATGTAGTCAATTTAACAACTCTGTTTCTTCCTCCATTCGTCGGCGACACTAGACCTCTAAATTCCTCCCATAGTCGATGCCTCTTCCACCATAGTTGTCTTCGCTTCCGTCTTCCTTACAACCACCGCCCTCATGAAATCGATTTCTAGTTTTGACATCTGCAATCGATTTCCAGGTCTAACGTCCAATTCTCTATAAATCAGATGCTTTGATTCGAATTCTGATATCTTATGTTATTGATTTTGTGAATAACATCATGATTTTGATTTTGGATTCAAAGTTTATGATTTTTTGGGTGCTTTCTTTGATAGAATTTATTATGTAAATAACATTAATAACATAATGTTGTTAATTTCATCATAAATTCCATCAGATGCTTTTCACTCATAGTTATCGATAAAATTGATGAACACCTGCTCTGAATATGTAACATCCCAAATTTCAAGGCCACAAATTTCATTTTAATATAACGTTTAAAAAAACATTTATAAGGAAACATCATCGTGCCACATCATGTCATAAAACCATAATCACATGTCTTAAAATCATATCATGAACATAGTAATAATGTCAGAGTACAATCCCAAGAATCTCATAATGCGGAAATCTTGTGTGTGTGTGTGTGATGCACTGCTATCGTGTTAGATCCTTCCCATATAAGTTGTTTAAATAGGGTGCAAACCCTCAAATTTAGGGTTTCATCCAGACAGATCTACTCGTTGAGTTGGGGCTTCCGACTCGGCGAGTATACTCTTCCATCCGCGTCCACAATTTGCATCTACTCAATGAGTTAGGGCCTCCAACTCGTCGAGTCCCAGAGTAAAAATGCAAAAGCTTATATTAAAAATACATACCGGGAACCGGGTGTTGCATAATATGAAGCAATTAGGAGCTTGGGTTTGACCATTTTAAAAGGTGTGACAAATGTTCTTTTTTTTTTTTTATTATTATTTTATGACACTTGCTCTAGGAAAAAGTTTGTTCTTTTTGGTGCTATTTTATGCAAGATTGGTTGTAGGAAATGAGTTTGCTTCTTTTTCCTCTTTTGTTTGGTGTGAATTTATAAATTTAAACTTATGGTTGATTATTTTGTGGCTTCGGAATCTAAGATTGAGTAGTTAAAGATGGAACACCTGCAAGTACAGATCATTATGGATTTTTTTTTCAAGGTTTGATGCTCGTTTCTAACATCCTACTTTGATGGACTTTTTTGTAATGTTTTGATGTTCATTTTTAGCATCCTACTTTTAAGGAAAGATCATTTATTATGTTTTGATGGTAAATGGCAAGTTTTGAGTGTTTTCGAGAAGTTGAAGGATAGTTGATGATTGTTTAGATTCGTTTTGATGATTTTTTAGATTCATGTAGATTGTTTATATTATTATTTTTTATAATTATTTTAGAAGTAATTCGCTCAATTATTTTGATAGTTTTGTAACAAAAGTATTGAATAAAATAATAATAATAATAATAATAATAATAATAATAATAATAATAAAAGATCAAATGGTCATTTTTATAATTTAGGATAAAATTTCAGAGGTTCCAACCAAAAAACATGTAAAAAATTCAGATCTTAAAAATTCTGACCCTCTTAGAAATTAAGGCATCTTAAAAATTCAGATCTTGCCAAACAACCCCTTGGTTTGTTTAGATTTATTTATTGATTTATTATTTTTTAAGATTGTTTTTAAGTTTTTTGGATTAAATTTTAATTTTAACCTTTTAAAAGTTTTAATTTTTATCTTTTAAGAGCATTTTCAATAAATGTTTTTTATAGCTTATTAATATGCATTTATTTATTATTTTTTTCAAAACAAAAAGAAAGACTTATGGATTATGACTTAGGGGTTAGAGATTAGTGCTTAGTGATTATAGCTTAAGGATTAATACTTATTACTTATGGCTTATGGTTTATATATAGTTTGGGGATTAGAGATTTTGGCATATGACTTAAGGGTTTTAGCTTATGGCTTAAGTCTTACAAATTAGTTCTTGTGACACATGCATGGTCTTCGGTTTATGGTGTAGGTCTTAGAGCTTATGGTTAGTTTATGGATTAGGGATTATATGCATGGTAACTTAATTGATACAAATGGTTTGACCAACCATATATATGTCCAAATTGCCCCTTCAAACAAACAGTAAAAACTTGCCGCCAGCCAAACTTAGAATGATTGATTTTTAAATATAGCAACTTCCAGCAGCAGAAGATAAGAATTATATGAGATATATAGACCAAGTACATGACTCACAATGTATCTCTAATTAATGTTTTTAAAGGACGCAAGAAAGATTTGGCCATAAACGTGGAATTAGTTATTGTATTAAAAAAATGAAACACAACTTCTCACGCATGAAAACACTTGCTTATATGCAGACTTTATATACGTTGCATAACGCAGAGATTTCTACATTTTCAACTCAACGCATAATCAACATCTACGAGCTAGATAGAAGTTCTAACTTTTAGTTAATCATAAAATATTAAAATAAACTACATCCCAAAGGTACTTGACGACTTTCTTAGCTTTGACGTCACTAGACCGGGCCAAACACTGTAGATTATTTTGCTAAATGTTAAATTAAAGACGCGCGCCTTTTCACATAACTAAACAGTAACATGCAAATCTTTACGTTGCATGATCAACGCAGACTCTTCCACATTTCAAATTAGACGTCTCTAAATGGCTATATAAGCACCATCCAAAGACACTCTTTTCACCATTCAAGTTGAATCAATTAGTTTTTGTATAATTTGTTCTATATTATTCTCTGTTTTCCACACAAAACCAAGCTCATATAACAACGTTAACGATGGAGAATGGATTGAGAAACGCACCTCCTGCTAATGGAAAACTTATCACTATTCTTAGCATCGATGGAGGTGGCATTAGAGGGATCATTCCAGCCACAATACTTGCCTTCCTCGAATCACAGCTTCAGGTATATATAGAGGCCACTTGAAACTACAAAATGAAACACAGGAGTTCAATCACATATGCATGCATAATGGATTACGTGATTATTGTGTAGGAATTGGATGGAAAAGATGCAAGACTTGCAGATTACTTCGATGTAGTTTCAGGAACAAGCACAGGTGGTCTTGTGACAGCCATGTTAACAGCTCCAGACCAAAAAAACCGACCTCTATATGCAGCCAAAGATATTGTACCTTTCTATATGGAGCATGGTCCTAAAATATTTCCACAACATAGGTTTATATATAACTCGTCTGACTCGTATAATTCATCTGTTTTCATAACTTTGAGGTAACATGACCTAGTTAAGTTTTAAAATATTGATTTCTATTTACATAGGGGTGCATGGGGATCCATCGTGAAGACGATGAAAATGATAATTGGACCAAAGTACAATGGGATTTATCTTCAGAAGCTTATAAAGGAGAAACTGGGAAACACCCGTTTGAACGAAACTTTAACCAGTGTAGTCCTTCCTACATTTGACATAAAACGTCTGCAACCTATCATGTTCTCAACTTATGAGGTTTCAATAGCTACGTTAGAAAAATGTTTTAAAATGCTTTAGGAACAACTTTTAATGTGAGGGTTAGTTAACCAAAATTTTCATATCAACAGGCGGATGTTAATCCATGTTACAATGCAAAATTATCAGATATATGCATCTCCACATCCGCGGCTCCGACGTATTTTCCTCCACATTACTTTAAAAACGACAATGAAGATGGACGAAACAGTGAAGAATTTAACCTTGTTGATGGTGGTGTCGCTGCTAATAATCCGGTACATATATAGTATACATATATTTGCAACCAAATTATGGATCTGTTGCAAATGATAAATTTCAATATTTGGGAGTGAGTTTGACGTTAAAAAAACGCTATTTTAACATCATACCATATATAACAACTTTGGAGAGGAAGAAGACCATGATTATGGTATAAACCTCCATTTTTAGTAATTTCTTTTTTTGTGTCTAGGCCCTTGTTGCAATAAGCCAAGTTACGAAACAAGTATTCAGCGAAAATACAGACTTCTTCCCTGTTAAGCCTATGGATTATGGCCGATTCCTTTTGATCTCATTAGGAACTGGTGCATCAAAGGAAGCGAACCGATACAATGCTAAGATGGCATCCAAATGGGGCATATTAGGTTGGTTGGTCCATAATGGTTTCACCCCAATTATTGACGTGTTCACTCAAGCAAGTGGAGATATGGTAGATGGTCATCTTTCTGTGTTCTTTCAAGCAGTTAAATCCCAAGAAAATTACATTCGAATCCAAGTAATGAGGCTTAATAATTGAGTTTTTATCAGTTTATAGAAATGAAAGTACTTTTAAATGACACTAGCTACATAAATAAATGTTGGAATTAATTAAACAGGATGATACATTAGATGGAGATGAGGCTTTAGTGGATGTTGTGACGAAAGAGAACATGGTGAAACTTGAGGAAATCGGTGAAAAACTATTAAAGAAGCCAAGTTCAAGGATAAATCTAAAGACTGGAATCTCTGAGCCAATAGGAACTGGCGAAACCAATGCCGAAGCTCTCAAAAGGTCAGTAAATTAACTGTGTCTAGAAATGTAAAACAAACTGTCTTATATATACATCTATTAATTGTAGCAAGTTAAACAGCTTCCTAAACTAGTGTGATTCGCATATACATGCAGATTTGCAAAATTACTTTCAGAGGAAAAGAAGCTGCGAGAGTCGTCTATATAACCTAAAGCCATCAAAGCCTTGAAGTCATAGAAAGATATTGTTACTATATATTTATAATTGGGCTTATTGTTGTATATTCATCAGCCCATTCTACTATTTTGTTTTTACGGCCCATGGCCATCATGTATTGTATATATACCTTCGTAGCCTATTATTTGAATGAAAGGAAATCAATTATTCAATATCGTATAACGCCACGTCAAATATCTCCAAAAATTTCTCACCTTCTAATTTATTTATTTATTTATTTATTCTTTGTAACCTGCCAATTCCGCCCCTCATAAAGCTTTTGGTATCACCAACATCAAGACCTATGTGTTGCTGGTTCTTGACCATGATCAGCTCAACTATGATGCATGGAGAGAACTTTTCTCTACACATTGTGTTGGGTTCGATGTGATCGACCACATAGACAACTATTAATTTGTATTCTTTTTGTGTCTTTGTTATTGCAAAATAAGGTCTTTAGGCTGGTTCAAACTTGTAGAGAGGTGGTCCTTCTTGAGTACAATTTGAAGAAGGGATTGTGAGATATCTTTGAATCATTTCTTCAAATTGTACTCAATGTTGGTTAATTGTTTCACTAAGTATATTTAAGTGTAATGTTGACTTGTTGACCATAATTAATCTTGATGAATAATAAACAAGTAAGGAATGTGTGGAATACACACTTGTTTAAGTTTATTCAAGATTTTTAAGTAAGGGCTAAATTGATTCCGGAATTAAAATCGGAACAAAAACAATTTTGGAATAAGTAAATGTTGGACCGAAAATGATTTCGTAATGAAGTTGATCTCGGACCAACACTAAGTTTGTAATTTGAATGAGATGTGAATGCGCTCAGATGCGAATGAGATTTCGGAAAACTAGATGCGAATGCACTTTCGCAACGATAGTATGTCACTATTCAATTGTGATGGATCGCAAGTAGTTGTAACACAACATTTTGGAACTTTACATCGAGTTGGATGGTACCGTTGATTTCGCATCAAAACGATCATTGATGGTTCGCATCAATATGATCCATATAGGATCACATCGCAACGAATCATTGGAACGATCGCAACAAACTTGTTTTCGCATCCACGAATCACAACAAACTTGCATCAGAGCACATGTTGGTCAGTGTTATATCCAATGGTTAAAACGATTGTTTTGTGTCAGGTTTGACTGTTGGTGGATATTCATAAATTAAACCAATTGTCCAGCAGTTAAAAGCCTATTTTGTGTCAGTTTTTCGAGTGTTGCAGTTGTCCTGTGATGGTTTTCAACCAATTGACATATTTAAGAAATTTTTGGTCAAACTTAGATATACGAATGGTACTTTATGTTGAAGACCTCAACGGACAAAACAAAGCTTTTCATTCTCTTTCTTGTTCTCAAACTTACGAGTATTATCCAATTGAAGATTTGGGATTACCACCAAAATACTTCAATTTGAAAGCGTAAATCATGATTTTAGAATTTCCAAGTGCTTTAATACCAAATCACCAACAGAAATAGAAGCATATTTCTAACAAAAATCAACGTATTCTTGTGATTATGGCTAGTGGCAATTCAGTGAAAGATATGACAAGCAAGTTTGATAAATTGGACAAGTTTGAAGGGCAAGATTTTCGTAGATGTCAAAAAAAGATGCATTTTCTCTTTACTACTCTGAAAGTGGTGTATGTTCTGAGTACACCTATGCTAGAATTTGTTGAAGATAAAACTCTAGAGGAAAAAAGTAGCAGATCAAATTAGGACAATGATGACTACATCTGTTGTGGTCATATTCTCAATGGTATGTCTGGTTCTCTATTTGATATCTATCAAGACGTTGAAACTACAAAAGAATGATGAGATTCTCTTGAATCCAAGTGACTAAAGATGCTTCAAGTAAAAAGTTTCTTGTCAGTAACTTGATGGGCTACAAGATGTCTGACTCCAAGCCTGTTATCGAACAATTCCACGAAATGTTAAGGATCTTGGGACAGTTTACTGAACACAATCCGAAAATGGATAAAGCCATTTCTGTGGCTATGATTATTGACAAACTGCTCCCTTCATGGAAAGATTTTAAACATAATCTGAAACATAAAAAAGAGGAATTGAATTTGACTAAACTTGGAATCCATTTACAAATTGAAGAGTTATTAAGGACTCAAGAACTTGATAACAATCTAAAAGACACGAATCAAGTTGGTTCCTCTTCTGTGAGCATGGTTGAAGGATAAATTTCAAAGAATTCCAAGAAGTCTAAAGGACAAATGAAGTTCAAAGGAAAGGAAGATAAGTCTTCCAATAAGAGAGTAAAATTGGTTTTCTGGAATTGTAACAAACCGGGTCGCTTCAAGAAAGATTGTCGTCTTTGTAAAGTGAATAAGGATGGTGCTGGACTAAGTGGATTCAATGACCCAAAAAGGAAATAAGGATGATGATGTTCCATGGTGGTTTGATTCGGGAGCAACAAGTCATATATGTAAAGATCTTCGTTGGTTCAAGGAATGTCATAAAATAGAAGATGGGTCTGTGGTGAAAATAGGAAATGTTGCTACTGAAACAATCAAGGGTTTAGGATTCGTTTTGCTTTACTTTACTTCTGGAAAATGTTTGTGTCTGAACAATGTTTTATATGTTTCATGGATTCGAAAGAATCTTTTGTCTGAAATTATGTTGAATAAGTGTGGTTACAACCATGTACTAGAAAGTGACAAGTATATATTGTCAAGACATGGTTATTTTATGGGTTTCGGTTATGTATGTAACGAAATGATTAGGCTTAATATAAATTATCCTAGTTATGATAGTTCTGTTTACATGGCTTCTTCTAGTTCTAGCAAGACTTTTGATAAATTGATTTATGGCATGCTAGACTAGCACACATTCATTACAAGAGATTAAAAGACATGTCAAATATTAGATGTTGAATTCAATGTGGAAAGCTTAATATTTAAAGATTGAAACACATTATTGTCATCATCCTAATATATGTGTTCAATACTTCAAGTAAAGGATGTTGAAATTTTATTTCTTACTAGTTCTTTGTAAAATTGAATTTGCATGTGTAAGATAAAAATAACTACCTATATAAGCATGAAGTTTAGTTGCTTCAAGAAGTTGGAACTTGACCTTGATATGATTATCGAAGGATGGGACACAAGCTAGTAAAATATAGTGTCAAGTTAGAAATTCTGAGAATGTAAATTGTTGTGTATATTGTCTTTATGTATTCACTTGGATAGAAAGGGTTCAATCCTTAGTGACACCCGGATATTCGAATATTTGGAATGAATAATATACTAATGTGAAATTCAATCATCACAAGATTTTATTTATGCATCAATTTGTTGTTGTTATGTTTTGTGAAACGCCTCACAAATTAAGACTTAAATTTTCATTTTAAATTAATAAAACAATTATCGAAAACATCATCATAAAAATCATGGTGGAAAAGTGTATCAACAATGTCAAAAAAACATCAGAGTAACATAAAATGCTGAATGAGGTGGTGTGTGCACTGTAATCATCATGTGCTCTTCCCTTCGAACCAGAAGTACCTAAAAACATAAACTGAAAACCGTAAGCACAAAGCTTAGTGAGTTCCCCAAAATACCACATACCATACATAATAAACATATAATGGACTCCGCCTGACATCGACCCCTCTCGGTATATAGATCAGTTAGTCATCGGGGCCCACCCGACATCAGGCCACGCCTGGGATACATATAAACGTATAAGCATATAAACACATAACACATGCAATAATCACAAAGATAAATAGCATACATAATGGTCATCAGGCCCCGGCCGGTAAACATATCAACACATAACATATGCAAGAGTCACACAAATATCTAGCATCCTAAATATAATAAACCATGGGCTGGCATTGGTGCCTTCAACCCACTAAATATAAAGAGGAAACTCACCTCTAAAGGTAAGAGCTTTTTACCTCAAAAGGCTTGCAAATTTGAAGTTAACTTTGGATCTACAAGCGCAAGCTATTCCTCCAAGTGTTCCTTTTCTTCTTCTTCTTCACCACAAAACACCAACAAACTCACTTTTAAGCTCAAATCTCACCAAATGCACTTAAGGTTTTGTTTTCAGGGTATAAGGGGTGGAGGTTGGTTAATAAATTTCCAAGAGGTTGATTAAGTTGTTTAAATAGGGTGCAAGCACTAAAAATTAGAGTTTTCCCAAACCATGTGTAAGCCTAACGTACTCCCACGTACGCCCGACGTACGTGGGTGAAGCCTGCGACCAGCAAAAAGCTAGTACGTTAAGCGTAATCATAGAGTACGCCTCGCGTACTAGAAAGCTAGTACTCAAGGACCTTGTTCCTCAAGTATTTCTTCTTCCGGTCAATAATCACTAACTGTCTCTCGATTTAATTCAAGCGATCATCCACCCAAATATCATCCAATAGAACCACCGCAGAATCATCCACTAAACACTTCCGCAACTAAGAGACGTGGAAAGTGTTATAAGTCTGGCTAAACTCCTCGGCAAGATCCAAGCGATAAGCAACCCGACCCACCTGGGCCAAAACTATGAAAGGACCAATGTACCTAGGGCCCAGTTTTCCCCTCTTCCTGAATCAGATGACACCTTTCCAAGGTGACACCTTCAGGAGAACCATATCTCCAACCTGGAACTCTAGATCTAATCAGCGCTTGTTGGCATAGCTCTTCTGTTGACTCTGAGTTGTCTGGAGTCTACTCCAAACTTGCTGAATCAATTAGGTAGTCTTAAGTGCCACCTCGGTACTCCCCATGACTTGCTGACCGGCCTCACCCCAACATATCGAGCTCCTGTATTTCCTCCCATAGAGCCTCTCAAAAGGAGGTCGATCAACACTGGCATGATAACTATTGTCATACGAAAACTCCGCCAAAGGGAGATACGTATCCTAACTCCCAACGAAATCCAAAACACATGCCCAAAGCATATCCTCCATGTTCTGAATAGTTTTCTCTCTTTGACTGTCAGTTTGTGGGTGGAAAGTTGTATGGAAA